TTACAGCATCAGACACATTTAATGCAAAAAAAAACCCCTTAATAATACATCTTCCTAAATCTGGATGATCATCTGAGAAGGAAATTTTTCTTTGTTATGAGCTAACTTCAGTGTTGTGGAGGAATTGTACTCACAGGGAAACTGGACTTGCTGTTAAGTAACAAGCTTATACTGTACAGCTATAATGGAGAGAGACTTCTCAGATCACAGATCATTCTCTCTTTTTTTTCCTGTGCCTTTGTTTCTACCTCTGCCCAGAAATTTTCAGCAATATATGAGTTAAAGATCACATGATGCTCAATGGACATGTAAAGGAAGGGTACAGGAGGTAAAGAAAAAAATCAATGGAACAGATAAAGTAATGTACTCCAAGTTTATTAAGGTTGAATTCTCTTGAGAAAAATGCCTCAAATCAGATTATCAAGATCTTTTGTAATGTATGATGAAAAAAGAGCTGTAAGCTAGTCCAAACCCTTTTAGCCTATTCATTTAAAGACAAATAGGCTCTCTCAGGGATTCCCCGAGCACATACTTTTTCCCCTAACTCCTGTAGCAGCTATAGAAACCTTGTCCTGGCTAAAAAAAATTCTTCACATCTTCCTGGTTTGCTAATTGTCTTTATGAGCAGTTCCTTTGTTACCTGGAGGTTTGCCTTGGTCAAAGTAACCACCATTGGAAGAACAACCTGAAGAGCTGTGCATGCAGTGATGAAAAGATACTCCTTCCCCCACCTGTGTGTGCTTTTGAAACCAGCCCAGCCTGGAAAATTGCAACCTTTGCTGTCTCCTTGCTTTCATATTCATTATCTGCCCATTAACTCATGTGCTATTTTTCCTTTGAACTAATTTTGCATATCAAATGTTTTATTGAAACCCAGTGAGATTAGATCTATTCTGCTTTTTTCCCCCCCTCTATGAAATCAAGTGTTTTATCTCAGGTTTGTGATTGTGGAATACTTGACACCCTGCTTTGCTTTCCTTTTGCAGTTGCAAACTCTTGCTGCTTGCTTCATCTCTGATGCATCTGGCTGAAGAGCCAGCTGACTCAATTGCTAAATATACAATTTAATTTTTCCCCCTATATATAGAAAGGGAGTTAAGTGCCAGGTAAGTGAGTTGGAATACTTTTTTAATTGATCAGAGGAGTGACTCTGGAGTGCTAGGAAGAGTGAGGCACTGGTTACAGGGGTGAAAATTATTCCTTATATTGCTGTCTACTAGAAAGCAACTAGGTTAACTTTTGGTAAACTGAAGAACTGTTGTGGCTTACTCTGCCACCAGTTTGCCCCAGTGTCCAATCTGCTTTTGAAAATGTTTTTTTACTCTGTAGTCTTTTTTCCCCCCTTGTTTTAGACCTATCTAATTAACTTCTTCCTGAGCTTTTTAGATATCTGTACCTTATTTACTGTTCTCCAGGTACATATTTACTATTTGATGCACTAGGTGTGTTTCAACTAATATAGTGCTTTACCAGTAGCATATAATATTTCTCCTTTAGAATCCAGGATAGAAATTATCCTTATTTCAACTGGAGTACATTATTCTCTGAATTTTTTTTCACCTAAAAATCATAGTTCTGACTTTAGCTGGATAACTTACTGTTGCTTATATTCTTCACAGCATTGTTCTAGTCAAAAAGATGAAAACAGTCAAGAGACATTGAAAAATGAAAACTGTATTGCAAGATAATGTACAAGGTAGAATTGCTTTCAGAATGACACTTTTTAATTTGAACAAGAACAAAGTTTTCTAGAAAAGGTGAGTGAAGAATGTGGTAATAATAACCAAGGGAGTAAATGCAGCTTCACTTAAATGTTTGCCTTTCCAACAGACTTGACAGGTTTGAATGTTTGCATAGCCATGGCACAAGTTCACACAGCCACATCCCTGAAGGAATTCTCTGGTAATGGGAAAAGTCACCAATGCAGTGGCTTTAACCCTTCATCTCAGTACTCTGAACTTTCATCCAATTTCCAAAAGGTCATGCAGAACTGCTGGAAATGGTCGACCAACTAACATGAAATTGAAGTAAATGCCAGAGATATTTAGAAATTATTTTATTTTCAAAATCTTGAATTCTTTTCATGTGCCTCATACCCAAGACAAAATGGAATTTTAGATCAACAAGAATATCCTGAAGCTCTAAGTCAGTATTTAAACTTTATCTCAAATGAAGAATACATAAAAGCTAACAGAGTTTGATGTACTTGGGGATATATTGTCCACTTCTACTGGGATCTGATTTTGTGGATCTCACTTAAAGTTTGTTGGTTTTCTGAGAAAAACAAAAATAGAAATATTCTTGGCAATAAATCAATTAGATGCAAGAGTCTAGCAAGCTGTTCATACGCTTTATCTGGAGTTTGCCTTCATTTCATGAGTGAAAACTGGAAATTTCTTTTAGCAAGAGGAAAGTTTAAAAAGTCCAAAGACCTCATTTTTGCAAGGAAGTGGAGTTTCTTTTATTTTTCTTGATACAGCTTGAGAGACTCTTTCTCTAGAAAAAGCTTGAGAGAATCTTATCTTGAAATCTCAGTGAATTTATACTGACTTTATATTTTGGGGAGCAAATGATGTTTTTTCTTTCTTTTCAGGTAAAAAATAAAATTAAAAAAATAGGGTAAATTTAAAATCTAAACATTTGGGGTAAGCTGTATTCCTTTTTCCACATAAAGTGATCACACAGAGGTTCATCCATATCACAAAAGATAAGATCATACTTCTAGTCTTTTTTTTTCCCCACTCTGGGCTCCTCCCATATATACAAGTATTTTTTTTCAAAACTAAACAGTGATTTCATCTTAACACTACCTTGTTTTAAGCAGGATGTGTCAAGTTGGAAGATTTCTGGAAGATTTTATGGGGATCTTTGGAAAATGCCTTTATGTCAGCTTTCCAGACAATAAGCATTAGTTAATTTTAAACTGTTCTTATTTTGCTTAACAAACATATATTTAATTTATATTCCAATGAAAGGTTTCACATGGAAGGGAATATGGAAGGTATTGAATGTTTTGGCACGTTGTTTGTTGTTTACTCATCCATAGTCTGAATCATAGAATTAAATTACTTGAAGTTTCTTTAAGGGAAATGTATATTTTCAGGTTCATAGAAACTTGTGAGAAGTATGTTTTTTAATCTAATCTTTGATCAATACAAACTAATTTTTATATCTTCCAGAAAACAAAACAGGAAAAAATAAACTCTTTCAAAAACAAACATTTTAAAGGGAAGATTGTTTATATTTTTTTAATACGGCATTATGATAAAATAAAATTTTAAAAAGGAACCAAAAACATTTACTTGAATCTGAAACAAAATTACTTTCAAATTGGCTTTATTATTATAATACTTTACAGCAGTGGATACTGAACTCCTTCCAGTCAGACCTTGCTTTGGTTAGACTAGTGATCCCCAATACTAGACTAAAGAAATGTATGGGACTCAAGAGCCTCCTATAAGTAAATTTGGAGAACTACAGTTAATTCTTCTGTTCCCAGGGAGAGTGACATTTTCCCTCTGTTTTCTCCACAACAAGTCTTAGAAAGGTTATACCTCAAGGAACTATAATATATCCTCTCTTGCTTTGTGTGGCATGAAAATTTTCCTTGGCCATGGAAAGCATAAAAATTTATTCCCTTTTTGCCCATAACTTTCTGTCGGCTCATCTTTGTTCTTGGTTTGCTCCTGGGCATTATCCTCAATGAAGTCATTTAGACCAGAAACCTTGAGCTTCGCCCAGTATTTAACGAAAGTCTGAGTTAATCCTAGTTTGCCTTTACAGGTTCATGGACAGACTTTATTCCATACAGGACTGCATAGCCCAATACATACTAATAAATTTAATAAAGCTTCTACACATCCACCTAAGCACAGATAAACGATGCGATGAAGTTTTGTTATTTCCTCTCACTATATGTTGAGGAATTGAGACATAGAAATTATCTGCTGTACTAAGGACATTTGGATTACAACTGAGTGTGAGTTGTTTAATTAAGTGTATATATATATTATCAAAAGCACAGGCCAAAGAAATGTGAATTTCTTGTTCTTCTTCATTTTATCCCATTTACCAAATGATATCAAGGCAAGCTTCCTCTTCTCCATAACCTAACTTTTCCTAGCTTTACATATGCCTCTACTATACTTCTGCAGCTATAGGGTACTTCTGCTGACTCTGTGAGGGGAGGAAGAAAAAATGACAGCCATTAACTGAAAGAAACAGCAGTTTCTGGAGACACTACCAGTCACTGGTAGATGCTCTGTGAAACATCTTCAAAATTTTAATTTCCATGATTGCTTTAATTGTTGAACCATTCTTCATGAATGAAATACTTGATTAAATTACCACATTTCTAATTTCTTAATTCAAGAACAGATTTCCCTTTACCATTGTGTTGCCAAGCAAAAGTACAGGTTGTTCAGAAGAGGAAGGAATAAGCCCTGCATATTGCCCCATATTGATGCCACAGAGGGAGAAGGGAATGAATGACTTTTTTGTCCAGTGTAGAGCCAATGATATCAAAAGGAATGTTATCCTTCTTCACTTAAAAAAAAAAAAAAAAAAAAAAAAAAAAAAAAAAAAAAAAAAAAAAAAACCACCAAAACAAACAAACAAACAAACAAAAAAAAAAGCATAAAAAGAAGAACAAATGGAAGATCATGCAGGGTCTTCAAAAGACACCATAGAGAATATTTTTGATATAAAAGTCTTTTTCTGGCCTCATCTATGGTCATACTGATCTTTAGGAACCAGTATGAGTTATCTGAGCCCCTTGCTGTGTGATTGCAGAACTTGCATTTGCAGCAGAGGCTCATCAATGTCTGAGACCAGCAGGGCCTCTGCTCTTTCCTCACTGCTGTTGTTGGTTGCTTGGAAGGGCAAAGAGCTCACATCAGGGTTACAGACAGAAACACCAGGACAGTAAAAGAAAAGCTGAACTAATGCACACTGAGAGGAAGGAGCATTAGTTCTTCCTTACAGAAAGTGAGAAAGGGGAAAGGTGGCTTTCCTCGTCGTGGCCCAGATGAAGTCAAGACAGGAGCTTTCCTAATCTGAGGCACAGGAAAAGGAGAGGAGTGAAAGAGTGGACAAGTCTATGTGGAAACAGAATTAAGGGAAATCTTACTGTTTCCTGAGGGGCCCCAGGAAACTACCCATGTGTGATGCCACAGGAAATATGGGTCAGGAGGTCAGGCTGCAGGAGAGACCATGGGCACAGAGCATCAAAACAGAGCACTTCCATGAAGCATTTTGTCACCAGAAATTGGCAGTGTCCAAAGTTGAGCATATAATGCATGTTGGTACAACTTAGTACACCAAAATGTTTTAATCTGCACTAGACTAATTCCCAGCCCTTGGAGCAACATTATATTTTCATAAAAAATTATATTTTTTTAAAAAATAATTTTGAAAGGAAACTCCTTGCAATTAAAATGTTACATGTATTTGAGTAGGAAATTCCTTTCTTTAAAATATTTTTTTTAACTTTTCTTTTTTACTAGTCGATCATAATATGTCCCTGGCACCATGTGACTTAGATTGCAAGCCAGTCAACAAATAGAAACTCTGCTTGTTCAGAGGTGACAACACTGTGTAATGTTTATCTGAGGGATCACCTTGGATGTCAGGTCAATATAATCATGTCATCAGTACTGTTGAGTAGATGGCTAAAATGGGTTGGACACTCCTACCCTATTTCTCTCCTTCATAAAAAAAGATTTGTGGTTGATACACTCCACTCAGTGGTGGAGGAATACAATATTTAATCTAGTGAAATGTCTTTTTTCCTTTTAATTAAGATTGCTTTATATTCCCAAAAGTTCAAGGTCTGCCTGGGTCAAACTTTGAGATGCCAAAGCAGTTCTCACGCCATATTAATATAATACCAAATTAAAAGCACTCCTTGGCCTCTGAAACTAGCCTGTGTCTTCCTGGGTGTCAGTGATGTGGTTTGCTGCTACAGCACTGGTTTAAAACCTGTCCTATATATTTCAGACTGAAATATTCTCTCCATCCCAGGGCATGAGTAACCTTTTGCAGTCCGTGCTGAAAGTGCTCATGTGTAGTGCTGCAGGGTTGAAAGTCAAGCCCAGTTTTTCCTGGGGAGCCTCACAGTCTTTGGTCCTGGCTGCCCTGTGAATCCAAGGGCTGGGTTTGCTGCTCCTCTGCCTTGGGATAAAGGGCTTCCAAACAGCCTCTTCAATGAGTGTTAGCTTAGGTTTGTAGTGCAATGCAATTTTGCTTTTCAGTGTTTATACTTGCTCATGTGTTTATCTTAGTGTTTTACTGAAAGAAAATAGATGGGCTGAAAGCATTCATAACCATAGCATCTGCTGTTCATACATATATGTATGTGCATACACACACAAAAATAATAGTACTGTATTACTGTGGTACAGTACAGATTCACTTTTTTTTTTAAGTCATCCACAAACAGAAATGAACCACGTTCTATTGTGAAATGATTTTAGGTTAACAGCATTCATGTAATACTATAAATAAAGGAAGAAATAATTGAGAACTACTGAACATTTTGTGCCTAATTCCTCTTTTTTAAACCTTTCTTATTGCACAAGTAGCCACAGAGTATTTGCTGCTGCAGCTGTTTCTCATGCATGATGTAATTGTTTTATTAAGCATTATTTGTTTGCATAGATCAGATTCTGTTATGACTGTGAATGCTCATTAAATCATGCCCAGTGCCACTCTAAGGCTGGGAGTTTCAAAAGTTTGTGGCATTGGTTTAACTCCAAAGCAGTGACTTAAATGGAAAAGGCTCCCATTGGTTCCCTTGCCATGTTTGTAAACATTTTATAGCACTGTCTGTAGACAAAGATGGTTACATTAGCACCTACATTAGTTAGGATAAGCCTAACTACCTAGTACAGTTAAAAAAAAAAATTAGACATGATAGAGAAATACCTCTGACTACTTGTGATAAACTAATAATTTTAAATCTAGCAAAATATTAACTTTTAGGTACAATACATTGTTCTTGAAAAACTTTTTTCTTCTTGACTGACCAAATAAAATTTGTCCACAGCTTTGTGCAGTTTTAACATGGCTGGTGTTGTCTTGAATCATGCTAATTAAAATACACTACTTTCAAATGACATTGAATTGCTCATTGCAGAGAAATCCTGATACCATGCTGCCACACTGTCAGGATTTGACAGTCACAGTATTTATAGGCTCTGAAGAAGAAAATGGGCCCAGGACACAGCAAATAATGCTATCTCTGTCTCTGTATTAATGCTTCTGGGCTGCAAAATAGTCACATATGCTCCCTTGAAATGCATTAACATGGCTAGGGCACTTGTTAGTCAGCATTAGGAAGGCTGTCATGTGAATCTAATTTTGTTCAGATTGTAGGAAAATACCAATTTGCCTGTCAAGAGAGAACTTTAAAAATCTGTCAGAGGAAATGGATGAGGAAACACTATAATGTACACAAAGTACGTGTAAAAAGCCAGATCTTGACCTTTTACTCATCTGGGTTTTCTTCAGAGTGTAAGCAAAGGGTACCCAATGGTTTTCACAAGCAGTTAGCAGAAATATTTTCTCACGCAGCTCATGATTTCCTTGTGGAAGCCATGGCTGCAGCCAAAGGCAGATTGTAAGCAGGATTGTAGAAGGCAATGTGTGTGTTCATGAACAAGAAAAAGCCCTACGTGATTAAATGTATCTGGGGAAGTATTTTCATATCATTCAGACAACAAATCAAATTGTACTGATCACTTCTGTTGTGGATGGGTTATTCCATATCTGCTGCTGGTGGATATCTTGTATCTTATTAAGTTTTCTGCTCCCTTTCCAACTATAACATGACTCCTTTTCGTCTGACACAGTAGTGAAATGCAGTTGAAACTTGTCATGTTTGCTCTTCTATCCTGTCCTACAAATTCCTTTTTCTGCTAACAAGTGAAAATACTTTTGGGGGCTGCTGTAGCTGTTGTTCCCAAGCTGTGAATGAAGTCTCTCAGATGAGGTGTAAGTCTATTAATGGGGAAGGGCAGCGTGTCTCCCTGGTTATGTGATGGGGTCACTTCTGGCTCCAAGCTAGAGTGAAATTGCACACACTCCAGAGCTCATCTGCAAAAATGGCAAGACCCATTCTCCAAAGTCTCTCTTACCTGTTGCCTACCAAAGTAGGTATAGGATGAGCTAGGATATGAGGCTCAAGAACTTTGACAGTGCTGTGTCTGTCCTTGCTGTGTGTTAGCAAGAGAGGTCTAGAAAGCCACAGCTAGAGAAACAAAAAAAAAAAAAAAATTATTTTAGTGATGTTTAAAACTAGTTCATTAAGAAGTTTTCCATCTTTTCTGATTTTTGGTCTACTTTCATTTAACAGACAGATTTTTCTCCCTCTCCCTAGTGGTTCTTCATTCACAAATAGGAAAAAAACCTCTTCCTGCTCATCATCTAACCTAGAAAGGTTTGAGAACTGGGCTTGTGTAAACCTCATGAAGTTCAACAAGGCCAAGTGAAAAGTCCTGCACCTGAGTCAAGACAATCCCAAGCACAGACACATGCTGGGCAGAGAATGGATTCAGACTAGACCTAGAGAGAAAGACTTGAGGATGTTTGTGGATGAAAAATTCAATCAGACCAGCAGTGTGCGCTTGCAGCCCAGGAAGCCAAATGTGTCCTGGGCTGCATCAAACACACTGTGGGCAGCAGGGTGAGGGATGTGATTCTGCCTCTCTGTTCTGCTCTTGTGGGACCCCACCTGGAGTGCTGCATTCAGCTCTGGAGCCCCCAGCACAAGAAATACATGAACCTGTTGGAAAAATTCAGAGGCTGGGTGATGAAGCTGATCTGAGGCTTGGAGCACCTCTCCCATGAACACAGACTAAGAAAGTTGGGGCTGCTCAGCCTGGGGAAGAGAAGGCTCCAGGGAGACCTCATAACAGCTTCCAGTGCCTAAAGGGGGCTTACAGGAGAGCCTGAAAGGAACATTTCACAAGGACATGTAGTGATGGGACAAGGGGTAAAGGCTTTAAGTTGCAAAAGGGCACATTTGAATTATGTATAAGGAAGGTATTCCTTACTGTGAGGGTAAAGAATCACTGGAACAAGTGGCCCAGAGAGGCTATGGACTCCCCATGCCTGGAGATGTTCAAGCCCACGATAGATGGGGCTTTAAACAACATGATTTAGTGGAAACTTCCCTGCCCATGGCAGGGTGATTAGAGCAGGATGATCTTTAATGTCCCTTCCAACATAAACCATGCTATGATTCTATGATCTTTTAATTACATAAGAGATCATAAGATAAACTGTGTACTGACTGTGAACATCTTTGAGCATGAGAATCCAGGGCTTCCCTCTGGCTGCCCTGGCAGGTCTGGGACCGTGGCAGGGGTCAGGAACCCCCCTGGACAGAGCCCCCAGAGACACTGTCTGTGATCTCTGTCCATGATAAAGAGGTTTCAATCTTACAGGATGAATTACCAGCTCTGGGTGTTTGATATAAGTAATAATTAAGTGTGGCACGGGTGCAAAAGTAAAATTTTAGGATTCTAGATGAGGGGTCCAAAGGGGACAAGATTGAGGAAATTGGGTGTGTCTTGTCCTTTTTCTCCTTCTTCATGCCCTCCATGTTTCACTGTAATGTTGGCATTTTTCTATTGGTTTAGGTTGGGGACACACTGTTCAACGTAGGTGACAGATATTGGCACATTATTGTAAATCCAGCACAGGGAGTTTCTGGTATTTATTGTCTGTAACATCCCACTGAGGGCAGAGCCCCACACGCTGCCCTGCAGGACAGAGCTGGGCAGGGCAGCAGAACATGTTAGAGATAAACAGAATAAACTACTTTGAAAACAGCACAGACCAATTATGACTTCTTCTTTGGCAATGGGGCAGAAAGAGACTTTTTACAATCTTGGAATCATCAATACCACAGATTCTGACATTGGAGGTTTACTGAAAAGATTCAATCTCCTGCAGTACCTTTTATTTCAGCAGTCCTGCTAAGAATCTTTCACTGATACTGATGTGGTGCAGCATGTGCTGAATGTTGAACTGTCACAAGTACATAGAACTATGAGTGCAAATAAAGATGTTTCACAAGGTTGGAAAACTTTAAAAAAAAAGGCATACATTAAACTGATGCTGCTATGTTGAGTGGGATGGGCAGTAAAGAAAAGCTCTGAAAACAGATATCCTTTTACCTGTAGACTTTTTGCTCTTTCTGGGATCATGTTTTATGTCATCACAGTTTCTGTCAGTGGGTTCTCTAATCAAGGTGAGACTGATATGCTGGACCAACTACTTTTCAGGAGTTTCTCTACTTAATGAAATCCCCAAGTCCAGTCAGATACCTGGATTCTTCACTGATGTCCTAACTACCCTAAAATGGTGTGGAAACTAGAAAACAACCCTCTGAGAAACACTGAGAAGCAAAATAGAGCTATGGAGTCCCTCAGGCTAATTTCTGCTGGGGCTTGGTACTCAGTACAAGAAAATTCTACTTAAAAATGAATAAATACTCTTGAGGAAAAATAGCTTACTTAAACCAAGAGCCATAGCACTTCTGAAATGAGAGCGTGCTGATAAAGTGATGTTGCATTTCCTAGTGGGTTCACATGAATAACCAGTCAATCAATCATGACTTGTTGTTTTCTCAGTTTCCAATGTATCTGACTTGATTTCTTTACCCACAGAATACAATTTTCTCTTTCTCTGTCTGATCCAATAACAAGTTGTGTGATAGATGCATATTCTGCTTAATAAATTTTTAATAAAAGGTAGGAACCAGGACTATTCTGGCTAATTTTATAGTGACAACTTTGTCAAAGAATTAAAGTCTAATATTTTTAAAGGACACACTAGGAACCTTAAACTCTTCAGTCTGCATTGACCCACTTTATAGTCTTGTATTTGTCATTAATTTTTCTTTGGCTTCACCATCATGCAGCAAATTTTGTAAATGCATGAATGCAAACCTGTTCTTTTGCTCCATTTGGATTTTTAAGGGTTTTGTCTGGCTTATTTTTTTTTCCTTTGATGGGATGCATACTGGGATTATATATTCTTGGCAGAAAAATGTGCATTTTGTTTGGGGAACATTATGACTGAACTATTTTTTCAGTGTACTGAAAGCCTAAGTTTCTCAAACCTTTTTAATTTCTCTGCCTCCCCTGTCTCCCTGATTTCTGTGAAAATATTGTGGACATTTGTCCTGTCTAAATATGTTTATGCAGTATGGCCTTCATTAACTCCTGCATAACTTGCTATCTATTATGAATTTTACTCTTATTCGTTCTCTTGGTTTCCATAATATCATTGCTTCCCAACTGTCTCTACTCCTTTGATCTGCATGCTATGACTGGGCATATGACAACTCTAGCTTAATGGAAACAACTGTCTAGAATGTGTCTCTCCTAATGGTCTGCCTAAATTTTGGTCTCTTTCCAGACCAGAGAAGATCTTTTGTCTTCTTTCAATGCATTTCTTTTTTCTCATGCAAAGGTCCAACATTTCCATATCCTGCTCCTGAAAACACTTTCCAATGTACCCTGCTGCTACTTCTTATTTACAGAATATCTTCAGTCACTCCTGTTTAACTTCCTTTCTTATCCATTAAACTAATGTAGAAAACCCAGCATGTTTTCTCTCAAGTCAGCAGAATGCCCAGTCTCACATTTTTGAACATCCAGAGGCTGTTGTCTGAAGCATCAAATATTGCCTTGAAATCTTGAAAACAGGAGATGTTTCCTACCCTAATCTTACTTTTTTATTCTCATGGAGTTCTGCCCAGCAAACCTCTCTAGACAGTCCATAAACCAGGAACTCCCTATGCAAGAATATTACACAAAAAAAATTGCAAATCACACTGGCAGCTTCTGCTTGCTTTTTTGCTCTTTGTTGAAGCCTATCTAAAATAAGACCACTGCAATCAAATAAGCCATTTACTAACTTGAAATAAAAGAATCTGGCTTCAGAAAATTCAGACACCTTTGTAACAAGTATATGATATGACTTCGCCCAACCAAAATAAACATGTCACACCCAGCATTTTTTTTCTCTCCATCTTTTTTTTTTTTTTTTTTTCAGTTTTGGTTTTTGTGGCCATTTTTTGGATGCAATATCAGTCTCAGAAATTGCAGCTTTTTATCAATCAGGAAAACATGTGATATCTTTTTCTCTAGGATTGGGCAGTCACTTTTTTTTCCATGGTGTGAAATATTCTACAGTCCTTATATTCTGGGCTGGTTAAAATCTGTCCTTTTCTACAACACTGTTTTGTCTGTACTCCTACTCAGAGGTATTCCACTAGCTTATCTCCTTTTATTATTGTTTAAGGGGAGAAAGTGTTTCCACTTGCCAGCTGATAAAATAAGAAGTGAATGACAGCAACATAAAATTTTATGAAAAAATCTGTTTTTTAAATTTAAATGTAGCTGGCATCACTTATCTTCATATAGCTTCTGCCTATGTGGAAAAATCTCTCTTTTTATAACAGCTTGTCAGCTGAATAATAGAATGGGGGGAGCCAACTTGAAAGACATGGCTGATTGGTGCAATTGAAAGGGGCTTTACAATTAGAGTTCTGGCAGAACACAAAAAAGAAATTGTCTGGCCATGAAGAACGGAGCCTACTTTAGAATTCCCTTTTCTCAGCCAGATAACATGCATCACTGTTCATGCATTCTCTTGACATTGAATAGAGGACTTCAGAACTACCACCCCAAATTATCCCTTACTGTTTGGTTCTGTTTGTGATATTTGTTTGGGGGAGGAAAAAAAAAATCTCTATTACTGACTGTAATGGCATGTGGCTAAATTCCATTCCATTTATGCACTTAATCTCTTAAGCTTGTTTCCCCTCCTCCCCCCACCCCCCGATATTCAACACACATTTTACTTTGATTAACTCTTTTCAGATTAGGGGGAAAAACCCCAAGATTCTTCTTATTTTCATCTCCTCTCCCCTTCCTTCATTTTACTTCCTTTTCTTTCTCTCATTCCTCTTCCTCCCCTCCCCCTCAATGGTTGTGTATGTGAATTAAAAGAGGAAGGAAGCCCTTGCAGGTGTGTTTTGGATTACAGTGATAGAACAATAGGGCAACCTTCAATTAACTCCATACCTATTCACAGGGAATATTTGCTCCCTTGTCTCCAGCATTATTTAATATCCACATTTACACAATGTACCTGGTGATGAGAATAGGTTTTCAATTCCATTTGAACTCTTCTATGCCACTCAATAATGTGCCATGTTTTTTAAAATTTATT